GGAATGGCAATGTTCAGTTCATGGAATGAAGAGTGAAATGTGAAAGAGACAAATCGATAGCATGTGTTCCGATGGAAGTAGTGACTCTGTAAAACGGGAATGCCAACAAAGTGACATTATAATTACCACTTTATTTTCCGATTTCATGGGAAGTTATTTGAGTCTAGAAAGAGCATGTCCTTTGAATTGTTGTTGCTGCTTGAGACTATAGAACGTAGAATTTGATATGCAAAAGGATCTCTGATGTGAACACGCGGTTGGGAAGAAACGGTGCTACCTTTGTTGTTTGATATCTTTCCAATCCAACGTGTCATGCAATTCTTGATTGCAGCTCAATGTAGCAAATAGTGGTAGCATGGAGTTTTGAAGAAGTATACCGTGGACTAAATGCGACTGTTCCATCTCCGGCTACTACCGAATTGGTACATCGGCCCAGTAATGTGTGTATACAATCAATATTGAATCCAAACTTTGAGATTGCTTTGTTCCATCACTCATTATATCATATGCAAGTAACCATTCCTACCGTTATCACTGCGCAACATATGTTTGTGCTACTTGTTGAAGGAAAATCCCCACGGTCAAATATCTAAATTGAGATTTATTGATCGTTTTGGTTATTTTGTTTGTAGAATTTCATCATACCCTGCATGGGGGCTGAAGCAACTTTAAGCAAGGGATGTTTTCTTGTCGTCGTACTTCCTCTCATGCAAGGTGGATCCTCCGATATTCATTTGGTACTGGTACCAATTCATGTATATGCAGAGTACATCACTCCCAGCGAGAAAACGTAATTTCTGGGGCGGGTGGGAAAGAAAGAGGCGGTGTCGTGTTGCCATGTGTACTTTAGTAGTTTGGTATGTCCTGGGATGAAAAGGAACTGGGGACTGGGCTCCTTTGAGGTACCAGGCAGTGTGACCTCTTCAATAGAGGTTGATTGGTATGACTCTCGGTGAGCTGTCAGTATGCGAGGATGCGGGACTTTCAGAATGGTTTATGCTGCGGAGAATTGATGACTAGAATTGAGATGAGAAAGTTACGCAATACATCTGCTACCTAGGTAGGTACGGGCAGATAGGAGTAGAGATGTGGAGCTGCAATGTAATGTGAACACTGCATCTTTAAGTAGAGAATGTAAATGCATCGATAGTAAGTAGCCCGCAGCAGCTTGTGCGGTCGTGGATGGTGTATTGCATGATGATATGTGATGTTTGATCTCTACTTGACCTGTGCGATATTTCTGTCCCTTGGGATTTCAGACAAACCAATAAGGATGATGGAATATTACGTGCAGCAGCGTCACATCGGGGTACTGTATCTGGTTTGCAATCTTGGTAACATTGATTGTCGCTTAAGAGAGAAATGTGGCCAAAAGACCGGCACAAGAGTGTTTAATTAGTCATTGGGTAGCAAGATTTCGGCAGGAAAAAAAGGTACCAGACAGTCCGGAAGGATCTATTTTCTTTGGGGAATGACCGAATGAGAAGGGATTTCTAGGAGAGAGGAAACGGAACTTAATTCGGCATTGAAACTTTTATGTAGGACATGGGCTTGGATATGGTATAGTAGTATAGCAGAGCAGCTCATGGGTTGAAAATTCCACAAGCATACAGAGTAGATACCCACTTGCATATTCATACTGGGTCTGCATCAGTAAGATTGTGTGTTGGTTAACAAATGACATTCTATCCGAGGGATATACATATAGGGAAATGGGAAGATGAAAATAAATACACAAATAGAAATCTATTTAGGAGTGTATGGATATAGATGTATTGTATGAATGGCGACTAGCTAACCGGGCAATCAACCAAAAGATAGTTCTTGAGAGAAAAGAAGCGAGAGGAGAGGGAATTATACTATGTTATCATTAATAGTTTTGATATTACATTGCAGCAATACTACCTTTATCAATGTGCTCCAATATGAATCATATGATCCTACTTTGGAAAAGTATATTAAACAATGTCTCAATGTCTCAATGTAAATGTGTATTCAACATCTATCAATATTATATGAAGATTACTTTTTGAAAAAATGATAGAAATGATACCTGCAGCAAAGGAATGATTAGTAAGCCTAGATACTAGTAAATTGGGCTGAAAATGATTATCTATCAGGTAAGGTACTCGAGTAGGTATTACTACCTAGGTATTACTAGGGATTTACCAGGGATTTACTATATCATAATTACTCTCTCTATATCGAGCTGGGAGTATAATAGCTGAGTGTGATAGCTCTTCCCTCCCTGGTAGATTGTTAAGGAACCATCGATGAAAATTTGATCGTCTAGTATGATACCTTTCCCTTCTGAGATGCCTACCTTACCTTCCCTTACCTTACCCTACCTTACCAGCTGCTTGCTATTGGCTGTGTATGAAACGAAGACGGGATTGCTGTTGACCAATGATGAAGATGAAATCATGATATCTCTCCGTAGAATGGGAACTGGAGTCTTGAATCGTTCATTTAATTGGATCTGCTTATTGGTGTTTTATGGATCTCCTCCCTCCGCCCCCCAAAAGATTGGAACGGAATTTTGATCATTGCGTCACATCAACTGGATTCTTTTCTCTTCAGTCTACGACACTCTATAGGGAAGAGAGAGGTAGATATGGGTCGAGGTACATTTCGTATCTTTGGATTTATACTGAGCACGTCTAGAACGTTGATATATTTGGAAACTAGAGATTTGATACCATGCTGACCACGACCTAATTGTTTCTCCAACCACAACCACAAAACTAGACTAATGTTTGAAAGGGATCAAAGGATCAAAAAGCTCACGCATGTATCCTAGGGCAAGGCGAGCGCTTGTAGTCCAGTAATAAAGACCGATCCGCTTTCCACCACAATATGTAGCTTCGCTATCAATGCGCAGCACAATGCACCCCCAGCACCAAAGTCCGGAAAGCTTGGGTGAGCTTTTTATTGTAATCGTAATCGTAATCCTACGCCTAATGGTATTACCATATATTACCTACCTATCTTGAGTGAAAGATCATCCCCCCAAAGGATAACTGTCCACCGGAGTAGAGGAGGAAGGAGGACCTTGGATATACATCTACTTTGCATCATGACAAACTCTCCTCCTCCGAGATCGAGCATGTGTATTGGCATCATAACATACCTACCTACCTACTCCTCTGGCTCACACACAGCTTCGCGAAAAACCTACGACATGTTTCGCTCCCCCAGATTTCCATGCTTTAGACCAAACATGAATAATTAGGGCCACACAGATAGTCCCACTCATGATCATCTCGCAACCCAAAATGCATTCTAATTTCTGTGGTGTTATCTTACAAGAGTCGAGCGAGCGAATATAGTTTGACTACCTGATGTGACGGAATGAGTTTATTGATCTTTAGTTCGCCATCACTAACCTCAGCCCAGTATCGTAGAATGCTATGGATCCGCCACAGCTCGGCAGGAAACTTAGGAAAGTCTTTGCTCAGAAAGCGTATGAGTCACCAAACAGGTAGTGGGTGAATCTCGTTGACAGATATATCAATGATGATGATGATGATGATGATGATGATGATGATGATGATGATGTCTAGTACCTCTCCCCTCTCTCCCCTCGACCCAAGGTAGAATTTGGTCGATGCACCCAACACTTGAATACAAATGCACAAACTCTATCTCGAACGAATGTCGATCAAACTCAATCCAAAGTCTAAGTAAGGTAGGTTAAGGTAGGTCCAAGGTAGGTCCACGGTAGGTATGATGAATTTAAAGAGGGGTAGAGCATCAGAATTTTTCACCTCCTTCTTAGTCCCTACCAATTGAGATGGGATGAATTAAACTCAAACGATAGGGAGTCGGGACCGGTACAATGGCAATGCCATGCCATGCAATGAAAAATGATTATACTCTATCACAATTTCCAAAAGATTGTCAACATTTTTATTTATCTTTTGGCATTGCATTCCCATAGCGCCGCCGTGCATTCACATCCAGCCATTCACGAATCCCGATTTTGTTCATCGACGGAGTACCTACGGGGTAGCTATAGCTTAATTGATAGATAACCCTGTCGGCGGTAGCTTTGGTACCTCGCAGAGTCGCAGCACATATCCACGTAAAATAAGGCTTATCTTTTACGGAAACTGGGTAGGTGTCAAAGGTATTTTATCCATTACCACTCTTGAAGGTGGTCTGTCTCGTTTGGACTGCAGATGCATCTCCTGTGCTTCTCAACCCGAGACTGGCTTGATATTTTGGCTGGATTGGGTACATGGGTACATTCGGATATGTGTAGATGGGCAGGGTGGGTATGTAGGTATGTAGGTATATAGGTGCATGTACTTTGTGACGAAAAAGGACGAGAAGGAGGAGAGAGAAAGGGAAGGAAAAAACAAAGGGAAATGATTTTAGAATTGAATGAAAAAGGATAGATTGTTGAGATTCTAATCATTTCGTCGACAAAGCCAGTTGAGGTGTTGTAGATGAAGGGAGGGAGTATATTGTATTTGTTATTGTGATACAGGATATAGCTATCGTATCCTCTGGAGAATCTCGATATCTCAAAGTCAAGAGAAAGAGTCACGATCTATTAGGTTCTAGATAGATGATTCCCATTTTAAACATTACTGTACTTGGGTAGGGAAATGTGATTACTCGGTACGGCCATTGGATCCTCATTCGAGAGATATTTACCACTTACTGACTAGTGGCTAGGTACTTGTGACATATTAGGTACTATTTTTTATTGTTACTTACTACTTGGGTTAAGAGATGGGGAGGGATTGTTAGGTAGTCTGTTGGTTTTCTTTAAACTTTCTTGCCTGGAAAGTCTATTGACTATATTGACGATGTTGATGATATTAACTATATTGACTATATTAACTATATTAACTATATTTTATAGTTAACTATATTGCTTGATATCGGCTCGACTGGCTAATACCAACTGACGGACACTGGCTAATCCGACTCAACGATCAAATCCTAATATATGCTAACAAACCCAAAGTACGGAAAAGAGATCAAATTACATCAAAATAGACCCAAATGATATCAAACCTTACTCAATCCTGCAATCATACCTTCAAACCCAAGATGCAAGTGCTTTTCCTCGAACGCGTCGATACTTTTCCGTCTACTCGTATCTAGGTAAAATCCTCTTTCTCTGATTAGTCCCTACGTACTGTTCATTCCTTACCTCTTCCCTCTTACCTGATCAAGATCAACCCAAGCACCAAAGCAAGCACCAAGCACCAAAGCAACGAGGCAACCAAGCAACGCACCAAGCATCGCACCCAAGCACGATCACGTCCCCCTCGTTCTTTCAATTTCTGCATTTCTCCATTTCTCCATTTCTCAATTTCTCTCTTACTCATATCGTATAAACTAATAAATTTCCAACCCTTCTAACCCTTCTAACCCTTCCAATCCCATCCACACTACCACACTACCACACTCCCACACTACCTACGACCTACTTCCTACTACATCCACCACTTCCACATCCACTCATCCTAAATCCACCACCCATAATAATTCTTTCCTTCTTTCACCCACCAAACCTAAACCGAAACCGAAAAAAAATAAAAAATAAGAATACAATACCTCCCTCCCCTCCCCTCATCCACATCCACTTCCATCCTTCCACCCTTTCGTCTCCCGTCCTTTGTCGACTTATTCAATAACTGCGTTGCTTGATTGCATCTAATTGTTTCTCGTCGATACTCGATCATTCTTCTTTGATTTACTGCTTTCCTTGCGGAATTTGAGGAGTTTTTCAGAGCAGTTGTTACCACAGTCGATCCAAAACATGTAAGTAGATCATTTTTCTGTCCCTGCGCCTTACTGGTCGCGCATACAGCTTCAAAAACCCCCCCCCCTCCAACCTGACCCCTCACTACACCTACCACCACGTCGACCTTTGTTGTGCCAGTCCCTACAGCTCTTTGTTGCAATTGACAAGCTCATTGTCGCATATCATATACCGCGGCTGGCTTTGCCCGGTGTAGCTTTGCTGTTGGGCCTGGCGCAAATGTTTACCCTTGGCCACTAGCCTTGGTACTACCAAGTCGTTCCAAATTTGCGAAAATTGTTCCCACGAAGCTCTTGCACGCTTAAGAAATCCCATTACCCCTTCATCAACCCACTCACGCATCATAAACTCCAAACGTTGAACAATTGACTGATCGCTTTCTTCTCCTAGTTTGAATTTATTCCCGAGATTTCTCCAGCAATAATTCAAATCTTCCACGCTCGATTTTTCGCAGGCGCAAAACGTTTGTCCTCAAGACTTTTCAAATCGAGTTCACTATATTCCGACGTCGCTTTGAAGCACTTACATTTTCAATCGCACATATCGGTTATTTCGAGGGGCGATTAGAGTATAATTCACTAGTTTGATACTTCAAGATTTCTAAGGTGAGCTATATACCTCCCCATATGAAAATGGCAGACCCCTATGAATCCGGATTGAACGAAAGCGAAATGATGCGGGGCGAGAGATTTCAATCGAGTTTCCTATTGTCACCTTATTCCTCCGGACCGCCACAATGATAGGGAGCCAATAATGTTGGGAAGGGTGGTGCGGGCTGGCTACCGACTATAGTGGCAATGTGAGCAGTCCTCGCAGTAGCTGCCCATGATGGTAGATTTCGAGGATTTCTGGATAGAGTGGGTTATCGTATTGCATCAAGCAAGGCTTGTTGCCTCGCCCAAATTCGCCATCTGTATCCTACACCACCTTCTGTAGGGGCCACAAGAGGCTCTTACCTAGCTCAAGTTTCAGCTGTCATATCCCTTTGTAGTTTTGCGGCTATACATGACCCCTCAGCCCTAAACCAGATTCTCAAGAGACATTACGGATCATACACCCGCCCCTGTCCCCTCCCCCTGCCCCCCACCCCATATGGTGGAGTCATGCCCCAGATTTTCCTACTGTTAATATCGAGAGTGACGCTGGTCCAATTTCTTTTTAAGAGCAGGGTTGGTTTCGTTTTAGTGGTTGTCCCAAGGGATGCTTCACCATGAGAAGCGTAACATCTTGGAAAGTTCACGATGGACTTCTGCTTGAGTGGCATAACACCTTGCCAAACTGTAACGTAATGGTTAGCGAGTGCTTTTATGATGTATTCGGGGGCCAAAAACTGCAACAGCACTGGGCAAGCTTCATCTCAGTGCCTTACTCATCCTTTCCTTTGCTTTTCTGCTTCAGCGCAAGCCGGACATTTCAGAGAAGCTATCCTTCATTCCATTTTCATTTGTATGTCTTGATCCCAACGCCCCGGTGGGTTGAAGTTGGAGCACTGTATTCTAGGCACTTTCTAACGGGGCATGATTTTGTGCTCTTGAGGCGATGGCATAGCTCTGCACCTGCACTTCCGTCGACACCCTGCACCTTGTTTCATTTGTTGCTTTATTTCTTTGCGTTATGAGAATCCTCCATCATCATTCCAGTCTACGGACTTCCTGTATCCAATATATATTCTAGAGCTGCGATAGAGGGGCTTGCAGTCGCTGGAAAATAAAAAGTCAGTAAAATACATATTCAACCCCATGAGCCCACTTAGCTTGCCAGAGATTGACTAGAACGTATTCACCAATCTGCCCCCAACCAATCTGCTCTTGAGTTAGGCAGTGGATTCATGGAATATATCCTTGCTACGAAAGTAGTTTTCATGTGACAGCAAGTTGGCAGATATGCTGATGGGCATATTATTCATTGGCTCAACAAGGTTGTGGCAGTTGACTGCTGTCTGAATACAATGAATCATGGTGATGGCCTTTTTTTGTTGTCATTCTCATCTCATCAGTAACAAAAGACGTCTTGTGGTTGGCTGTGACAATCCATTGCTTTGCTGAGCAATTGATGTGGGGATATTGTTGAGTCAACACTGGACCTTTGTTATATGACAAGGTGAATTCATTGCGCAGAGACTTCACTACCAGAATTATAATGAAAAGACATCACTGAAGTTTGTTGGATGGTGTTACTTGTTTCGTGGTGTTGTCATGGTGGAACTGTGACAGACTCCATCAACACAACACAGGAAACTGAAAGTTTTGAATTGATGGATCTCATGATTGGTTTCCTTTGTGCAGAGCCCCAATGGCAACTTCTAAATTCTAGTGTATGATAAGTTGATTGTTGGTTGCCCGGCCGAGCAGGTCACCATTCCGAACATTTCCGGATGTTTCTCTTGAAAAAGTGTCCTTTTATCAACTTTTTTTCTGCAGCAAAGTTACTCAGGAAGATAACAGTTACGTCCAATCCAAGTTTTCTCTCCAGCATTCTCAGACATACTCTCAATCCTACTTATCCTACTGATCCCATACTGAAGGAGCGTGAATCACAACCTGGAACGATATCATATGATTTACACTAATCTCTGGGGTCTGCCGTAACCTGCACACTAGCGTAACTCTAGCCCGTTGACCATAAGCTAACCATAAGTGAATTAGATTACGCCGATCTTTGAAGCTATTTCAACGGTCCTCGTTCTTGAATTCTTACTTTTAAACTTACACCACAACACACTTTTTCGCAACCACAACGCGGAAATACTTTGCTTCCTTCTTTATATCTTTGTTCTTCCTTAAACCAAACCTTCTCTTGTGAACAGATCGATCTTCGCAATGTCTTTCCAACAACAGCAAGCTTACGATCCTGCCCAACAAGGTGGCTACGAACAGAACAACGGTAACGGTGCCATGCCACCACCACCAATGCAGCAGCAACAACAGCAGCAAGGTGGTATGCCTGCCGGTGACGGTGGATCACCAGCTCCATTTGCGCAACAAGGTGCCGGCGTTGAAGGCTCTTCAGGCAGCGTCACAGGAGATGCAAAGACAACCCTCTGGTAAGCTTCTCTTCTCTTTTTGGCTCGATTTGGTCTCTTGTGATCTTATCACTGGCTTTATCACTCCTCTTCCCTCTTCTCCCTCTTCATCCCTTGTAGATTTTGATCACAGATCGAGCACATTTATGTCTTGCGCGCCGCATTGCTTGGTGCGTGACCGTAAATGTACTCGATCTAGAAGTTCACTTCATTTGCAAGAGTACACATCCTTTTGATCCGATCCACATCATGGTCATGATCATTACTGCATTGCTGTACTACTTTTGATCAACACCAAATTCATCACACAGTCGGTCTACGATTTGATCTCTACTAACACATTACAATAGGATGGGTGAGCTTGAGCCATGGATCGATGAGAACTTCATCCGCAGCGTCTGGTTCGGAATGGGCGAGCAAGTTAATGTCAAGATGATTCGCGACAAATTCTCTGGGTAAGTCATTCTTATCGATACCACACTTTCAACCAAGAAGTATTATCTAACTATGTTCCCATCAATTTAGAAACGCTGGTTATTGTTTCATCGACTTCACTTCCCCAGCTGCTGCTGCAAAGGCTTTATCCTTGAACGGATCCATGATTCCAAACACCACTCGACCATTCAAGCTCAACTGGGCCTCTGGTGGTGGTCTTGCCGATCGTCGGTCAGAATCCCGGTTCATATACCTCTTTTCCTCTGCTTCGCACTTTCTTGAATGATTTGCTGACTATTTACAGTGATGACCGTGGACCAGAATTTTCTATCTTTGTTGGTGACCTTGGACCGGAAGTCAATGAGTACGTCCTCGTCTCATTGTTTCAGGCCAGATTTCCCTCTTGCAAATCAGCCAAGATCATGACTGACCCCATTTCGGGAATGTCCCGTGGCTATGGCTTCGTTCGCTTCGCCGAAGAGGGCGATCAACAACGTGCCCTTACCGAGATGCAGGGTGTGTACTGTGGCAACAGACCCATGCGCATCAGCACAGCAACACCCAAAAACAAGTCTGGCGGTGCTGGACCAGCAGGTATGCAGATGCAAGGCGGCGGTGCTGGTGGTATGCCCGGTGCCATGGGAGGTGCCCCAGGCATGTACGGAATGGGTGGTGGCCCACCAATGGCTGGATACTATGGTACTCCTCAACCAATGAATCAATTTACCGATCCAAACAACACAACTGTGTTCGTTGGTGGTTTATCTGGCTACGTCACCGAGGATGAGCTCAGATCCTTCTTCCAAGGTTTTGGCGAGATCACCTACGTCAAGATTCCACCCGGAAAGGGCTGTGGATTTGTCCAATTCGTTCAACGACACGCTGCTGAGATGGCTATAAACCAGATGCAGGGATACCCTATTGGCAACTCTCGCGTTCGTTTGTCTTGGGGACGTTCCCAAAACAACTCGGGACCAGCCGGAACCCCATACCGACCTGCTCCTCCACCTCCTCACTACCAGCAGATGGGTATGCCACAACAGCACAACCCTTACAATGGTTTCCAACCTTTACAGGTGAGATTTGTTCCTTCAATACACTTTCAAGCTGACAATTTATAGTAAGCATACATCTTCTTTCGCGAATGGAGTTTAGTGTAGCATGGCGTCTTTCTGCACTGGGCTTGCCATTTTTCGGGGCTTTACTTCTTCGCGTCCAACGCCTGGATAACTCTTTCTCGTCTTAGCGTTACTTCAAGTATCGGATGGGTGGGACTCTGCGTTTTCCAATGATGCCCATGTATAAGCATAGACTTTTCATGCGACCACGATCTTCGCTTTCTCTTTTTTTCCTTCTACACATGTAATCTCACTGCTCTGCTGCTTGGTCTGCTCACTTATCTTTTTCTACTGGCGGATTTTTAATCGTCGACGAGATCTGTTTGGGCAGCTTTGCACTCATGCTCTGAAGCAGCTTTTTCCTATTCTGGACTTTATCCACAAAAGCTCAAAAGTTTAGACTCTCTTTTTTAAATAGGAGTATCGCGGCTTGTGCGGACTCGATTACAAATGTATTCTTCATCCATTATTTGATTTTGCAGACCATTTGTTTCCTTTTTGGTCACATACACTTGTTGTTATGTATTATCCTATGTTTTGTGCTATTGCCTGTGCGATGATAAAAAAATGTCCCTACAAACTTTAACTTCAAATTACTGGACTTGTAGCATTTATCCTTAGCTTGAGGCACTGCTTATTTCATCATCTGAAGTATCGGATAAATACTTGTTTCTTACTATTTCCAAGCTGCTTTTCTTCTTTTCAACGTCCATACTTGACATGACATCTTGCTAACGTGTTCAAAATAGACCAGGTCAACAGAGTCACCAACAACCAGCCGCCGCTTACAACGCTGGATACCAACATCAGCAACAACCATCCGGTGGTCCAATTGCCAACGGTGGCTTTAATAACCAAGCACCTTATGCCTAATTCCAGTATCTATAGTCGCGCGTAGTCTCTCAAATTGGTCGTCTTTCGCGGATACCCTTCGGCACACTTCTACGATTTGGGTTCTTCGATCTTTCATTGGTTTTTCTTACACTACTGCAAGATACCCTGCTGCATCTAGGATACTTTAATGACGCTTGCTCTCAATTTTCATGGGATTGACAACAATAATGGTGGATGACTCGGCTTTTATGGTTATGGTTTATGGTTATGGTTTCTTTTGAATTTTACACAATATTTCCTTTGGTTCAATACTTTCGACATTTCACGACTCTGAAACGTCTCACAATTCGATGAAAAAAAATTCCAGCGAGCTTTACTTGCAAATTACATTACCTCGATACATACCTTGGCGAAAATGGAAAGGCGTCATGGTTTGGTGCATTATAGTACATCGATCATGATACCACTCTTGCGTGCATGGATGGGGGCCTGGACGGCATTGCTTTTAGGTGTGCGGCGTGATATTCATCTAATTTACTACGTGGTCTTTCTCTGTTTTCGAATCTCTTTCTTTCCAGTACATAGCCGCGACGGAGGATCTTTTACGTCTCTACTCTTCTTTGATGGAATTTACACTAGTATTCTGGTGGTATTTCGGGCTTTGGGGAAAAGTTGATGGATGGATTGATGAATCATATTGTTGCGTGGGTTTTCGTCGGAGGGCATGACATTTATTCTACCTCGTGGTTTGATATCTTCTCGGGAATGACATGGTGCAGCGTAGCATCGTATAAATATAGTTGCAGTGGTTCATCAGCGAGTAAGCTTTTAGGCATTGGTTGAAGGAATTTACGGGCTGATTTGAGGTGTGGAACGTGTGTCGTCTGTCAGTCAAGAATTAAGAAGGATTCATTCATTGTCTTTTATCAAGATCTGTATGGTTTTGATTATGGTGATTTGTGTATGTGTATGTGTATGTGAATGTGAATGTGAGAAGATTTGGCTTGAAACGCTGTGCTATCTATCATGTCTAGAATTATGCTTTCTTACCCAGAGAAATGTTTACTGTGAGGTCAAGCGGATGAACATGGTCATTTCCTCATGCGAAGACCTATCTCTTCTTTCTACCTTTTGATATCTGGAATTCTAGTTTCAAGTCCAAGTCCAAGTCCAATTCCCACTTCAATTCTAACACGTCTCAATACATAGCAATACATAGCAATACATAGCAATTCTAACCCTATTCTAACACGTCTCAATACATAGCAATACATAGCAATTCTAACCCTGTTCTCATGCAACGCTCCCTCGAATCAAAAGTAAGCTTTGGATATCTCTCGAGTCTCGAGTCTCGAGTCTCGAGTCTTGAGTCTTGAGTCTTGAGTCTTGATGATTCGTAGCTGCTTGTTGAGAGTAGATTTTGGGGGAATAAGGAGGGGGGGAAGGAGAGGGAGAAGGAGGGGGAGAAGGAGGGGGAGAAGGAGGGGGAGAAGGAGGGGGAGAAGGAGGGGGAGAAGAAGGGGGAGAAGGAGGGGGAGAAGTTACTTCGATATGCGAATATGTTAATATGTTAAGATGCGAGTGTGGAGAAGTGGGAGGAGGGGTGTGGTAGTATGTATGTGGTGTGTAATGTGTGGTGTGTAATGTGTGGTGTGAGTGGAAAGGGTGTGAGTGGAAAGGGTGCGAGTGGAAGGTCGTAGGATTTTTTGATTCTTTGATCCTGTGGAGAGTGGCAGAGGGGAAGAGGCGTGTTTTTGGAGGGTGGCGATGGGAGATGGGAGATGGGAGATACGAGGGGATACATGATGGAATACATGATAGGATAGGATGGGATTATACAAGCTTTGTTAGAGGAAGGGGGTGGGAGTTTGAGGAGGGGTTGCCGGGGGGGAGGGGAAGTTTCCGAGGGGGAAGTTCTGAAATGAAGTTCTGAAATGAAGATGTGGATGGATTTTATTGAGTGAGGTAAGTAATGAATGGCACTCGGGAAGGGAAAAGAGGGAATACAAAAGATGAGCAGGAGAATTGCGATTGTTGGAGGAATGGAATAGATCACCGCGAGCTGGGGTTTAGAAATTAGAATGGTAGGGTGGAGGTATATCAGGGTGGAGGTATAGGATGGGATATGATATATAATATCAGTAAATGAAGAGAGTAAGGTATCATAATGAGAGAGGTAAACAGTTTACATAAATGAGAATGGGAATGGGGATGGGAATGTGCAAGTATGGATAGTTACACATCTGTATTGATGATAGGGAGGGAGAGAGGGAGGGAGGGTTGTGTATTGTGTATATATATATAACGTATAAGCATAGATGGATGCGTTAGCAATGGAAGTCAATGATAACTAGGACGTGATATGGAATTCGTAACTAACTACCTACCTATGCAGTATTGAGGAAGTACATAGCTGTTTCGGGGAGCGAATCCAGACAGCAGATAGGAGATCCTGGAAATCGGTAGAACTGTAGAGGTATGAGTGGGATGTATAAAGAACGTATCATGGTTTATCAAGCGAGCAGCTTGAAGAGAAGGAGGAGCTAGGAAACCGCCATCGATTTAATCAAGGTTTGCAGATGGACAACGGATAAGATTATAATATCACCAGCAAGATATCTCAGAGAATAGAAAGGTGGTCATGGTATGGCTCATTTGCTCAATTAACGGGCATAAGAATTTTGATTAGTCCCTAGAATAAAAGACTTGATACATATACGATTGATCACTCAATGGATTATGTAGCACTGTCCAAAAGAATAAAAAGATCATCACTTCCTAACCTTCCTAGCATGCTTGACCAAATTTTCGATAACCCCTTCAAAGGCCTCTCTGTCACCCAGCTTTTCATCCGTCCTCATCGTCCAATAGTCTAGTACTTCTTTAGCTAAAACTTTCATTTCCTCGAGCTTTTTCACGTGTCCTTTCAACTCATCCATTGTTAAACCTTGTAGAGCCTCTTCTGTAATCTCACATGTTTGACGTGCAGATACTAAATCTAATTGAGGAGCAGGTGGAGGACCCTTTCGACGTCGACTATCCGAGCGGGAAGGCTTGACATTGCCTTGTGAGTCAAGAGAAGTAGAAGAAGAGGATTTGATACGATCTATGGAACTGTCGAGAGAGCCAGAAGATGATGGATGCAAAGATAAAGAGGGGAGGATGAGTTTCTTTTGTGTGGAAGCTGGGAGGATTTCATCCAGAGATACGGGAATACCGAGACTGACGAGGAAGAGACGACGAATACGGGATCGAATCCAATTTGGTGGCTGAAGGGGTGGTGGAGCCACGAGTTGTGACCAGAGTGATGCGGATCGTGGTGTGAGGAATATGGGATTCGGATTTTCAAGAGGTGGGAGGACTGATATATCAATTGTGTCGGAGGGAAATATATGGTCGAGGTAAGGTTCTGTTGCCGAGCGAATATCCTCGGGGGCATTGAGATCTGTCAGGTCAAAGGTGGGCTGAACAAAATACTTATGTTAGGGCTGAGTGTACTATTGTTGCATACGGAAAGTAGACGACTACTTACAAAAGAAGGAACTACAGGAATTGGCAGAGAAGATTGAGTCACTTCAGGCTCTTGAAATCCATCATCAAAATCACCAAACTCTGCATCTTCCTCTCCTTCCTCAAAATCATCGAAATCATCCCCGAAACCGCCATCGTCTGCATCGTCTCCACCATCTCCACCATGACCATCATCTCCGTCTTCTTCTTCGTTATATTCTTCTTCTACGGCTTTGTTCGCTGCCGCCGAAGAGCTTTGACGTCGGAGACTTAAGGACGGGGAGCTAGATTCTAACTCAGTCAATAACTCTGAAGGTGTTTGGAAATCATTGTTAATACATACCAGGTACATCAGCGACCTCGACTATGTCGTCTGGTTGAGCGTCTTCCTTTCGCAATTCATATGCGGCGGTACCGGGAATTTCGCCATGACTTGGTTCAGAGTCTATCCTCTCAACTACAGTCTTGGGAATTGGTAAGTCCCCTGGTGTACTACCAGCTCTTGATCTCGTTATACCAGTCGTGTTAAGAGTGTTGGAGCGACTGCGACCAGGAGTTGAGTCTAAGACCAAGTCCGGGACTGCGTCAGCTTTACGCTTTTCATACGCTGGTGTACCCGGGACTTCTCCATGACTAGGAGTATCGGGGTCTATCTTCTCGACGACAGTGATGGGAATGGGTAAGTCACCCGGAGTTGAAGGTCGTCGAGCTCGTGCGATATTGTCAAATTCTGGAGCCATTGCAACTTGATCAGGCTCAGCATCCTCTGCTCTCATATTGTATGCTTGTGTGCCCGGAACTTCTCCATAACTTGGTTCATCGTCGACTTTCTCAATTCGAGTAGTGGGGACAGTGGGTGAGGCTGCGGTGGATGGTTCTAGACCAGAGTGTGCATCTGAAAAATGATCTTCTGAATCCGAAGATTCAACAGTTTCTAAGTAAAAAGAATGTTAGAACAAATCAATTCATGTAAAGTTCCAAGGGTATGTTCTGCATCAAGACCATTCTATCCCCATCGTCGCAAAAACAACAGAGAGTGTTGAAACTTAGTTTCGTCGGCCTTACCTGCAAGTTCGTGTGCGCCTGGGTCCTCAATGCTAGTCCTTGTAGGAGGTTCTAGACTTCCGTGGTCTTCCTCAGCCATGATTGATGATACCAGCGAGATACCAGCGATAACCTCGATAGAAAATCTCAATCAATAGACAAAATGGTCTGGAGGTACGATTAACGTGTTGGCAATGTATACTGAGTAGTGAACGAGAGAAAGTCTAATCCAAAGGGGGAACAATGACAACTGCTCCCTTCTCGGTCAATGATAGCAAGAGCTCCGATCATTCTGTTGTTCACTCGCTTAATTTTTGATTGAGGCGCGATACAGTACGAGAGTACCAAAAAGTCGCGCTGGGAAAGGCTAAGAAAGACAAAAGACTTCAATTTCACGCGCTTTGAAATGCGCAAGGCTGATTAAATCAATTCGGTAATTGCAGAAGCTGTACCTCAATTCAATTTAACATTGAAGAATATTATATTGCTGATCATCTCAATTTCTTTGCAAATAATCAGCTTCTGATCTGGTATAAACAATCAACAACATCGGAAAATCTTCCTTCCTCGGTTTCGATTCGCATCCCTATTTTGAAAGCTCAACAATAATATCTACAAGATGTCTGGATTTACATTCGGCAACACTGGAAGTACGGGCGGGGGATTGTTTGGCGGGGGAAGTTCTAGCAACCCTCCTAACAGCTCTGGAGCTGGACTATTTGGAGGTGCGCCAGCTACATCTGGGGCCGCACCATCATCTATATTCGGCGCACCAAAGCCAGCTGGAGCACAAGCACCGGCCTTTGGAGGAGCAGGAGCATCAAACGCAGGAGCTGCAAAGCCAGCCGCTGGAGGTATCTTTGGCCAAAGCACAGGAAATGCCCCAAATGCCACGTCTTCTTTCAGTTTTGGAAAGCCTGCTGCTAGCACCACACCTACAACTTCAGCAGGAGGTGGACTTTTTGGTGGAGGAGGCGCAACTGCAGGTGGAAGTGGAGGCTTTAGTTTCGGAGGGCCCAAGCCAGATGGTGCTTCAACGCCAACAACGGAGAATAAACCCGCAACTCCTACGGGGGGTATGTTCTCAGGCATGAACAAGCCAGCAGCAGGAGGTGGCATGTTTGGAGGAGCAGCTTCGAGTACCCCAAGTTTAGGATCAACAACACCAGCGCCAAGCAAGCCTTTCAGTTTTGCATCCACAACCCCTGCAGGACCACCACCTACAAATAATGCACCAGCTGCGAGTACAGGTAACTTGTTTGGCGGAGGTGCTCAATCGCAATCAGCTGGAAGTCTGTTCGGAACACCAAAACCAGCAGCCACATCACAACCTACACAGACACCCGCTGCACCAGCCCCTACTGGTGGTCTTTTTTCCAGTGGCACTCCAGCAGCTGCAGCTCCTACTAGCAACTTGTTCGGTGGTGCTGGTGCTACAAAGCCTGCTGCGCCTAGCGGCAACATGTTTGGTGGAAATAAGCCTGCTGCTTCGGCAGCTCCCCCTGCCAGCTCGACACCTGCGGCGACTACAGAAGCTGCTAAGCCAGCCCCATCTTTCAGCTTTCCTTCTGCTACTCCAGCAGCTAGCACCCCTGGAACACAGGCTTCTACTACTCCCGCCCCCGCAGCTCCTGCTACCAGCAGTCTATTTGGAAAACCTAATCCAGCTACATCTACACCCGCGCCATCTGCATCTGCCCCAGCTCAAAAACCATCACTTTTTGGAAACGCTGCTTCGACTAGTGCCGCAACCACTTCCACTCCTGCGCCAGCTGCTACAACATCAAGTTTGTTTGGCGCAGCTAAATCATCAACTCCCGGTACTTCTGGCCCAACCAACACCAGCACTCCTGCTCCTGCTTCATCGACCGCAAATGCTGGCTCTGCAAATCTAGATCAACGAGCCGGAGCAGCAGGAAATGCAGCATCTCTAGGAGCTTCTACCGCTGGCCCAAGACCAGAACTATCTCGTCTTAAGAACAAAACTATGGATGAAATCATTACCCGATGGGCATCTGATTTAGCGAAATACCAGAAGGAATTCCAAGAACAAGCAACCAAGGTAGCTCAGTGGGATCGTCTTTTGGTCGAGAATGGAGATAAGATTCAAAAATTATACAATACTACCTTTGAGGCTGAACGATCAAGCGCAGAAGTCGAACGACAACTAGCGACGGTGGAGGGCCAACAAGCCGAACTCGAACAGTGGCTCGATCGTTACGAACAGGAGGTCGATGATATGTTCAAAAATACAGCTGTCGAAACATTACAAGGACCAGATCAGGAGCGTGAGAGAACCTACAAGATGGCGGAGAAATTGGCGGACAAACTTGATGAAATGGGCAAAGATCTTTCTACTATGATTGAAGCTATGAATGAGGCATCTGCTACTTTGAACAAGAGCACCAAGTCTGATGATCCAGTAAGTCACTCCGATCTATGTATCAGATTTATAAAGAATTTCACTAATCAAATGTGCCTATAGCTTTCCCATATCGTCCGAGTCCTTAATTCACATCTTATGCAATTACAATGGATTGATCAGAATGCCAAAACACTACAAGAGAAAGTTGAGGCGGCGCACAAATTAGGACAAAGTATGAGTGCAAATGGTCTTGGTGGAGCGGAAGGTGATGCTGCAGATCATTTCTATAGATCTTTTATGGGCAGAAGATGAAGGGCCGAGAACGAAAGATAGAGCTTGATAAAGCAGGTAAAATGGAGGCAGACAAGTTTGTGCTGGCGTGCTGAATGGATGTTTGGGCGTTTTGATTTGGCAGGAAATACATTTGCAAATTCATGCATGGATGGTCTATTTTCAGGGGAGCATATGTGGATAATGAACTTGGAAGACTGAATACCGCAAGCCTTCAATAAATGACTGAGGGAGAAGAGAGATACAAAAGGATTCATATATCCAAAGTAGGCGAATGCGTGGATGTACGAACCGGGGCAGAAGTGTTCTAATGAGCATTTTTGTGTATAATAGATAGCATGAAGCAAGAAAGAATAGAGACTGATCAAGCTCATAACCAATTTTGTTCCATTGAAATGGGATCAACTTGGCTTGACACACATGGGAATTCTGCAACCACGTGTACAGGCAATGATCGTATTATACAATCAATAATTTCACCGACTATAAACGACCATGATTTCATCACGATCCTGATATCATATTTCATTTTGTTCAGTCTTGCTCGACTTGAACGACCCCCTTTCCGCCTTCCCTCCCGCCCATCCATTCATGAAGTTTTTTTATTTTTGCAAATTTTCAGGTTGATTTAGCTGGTAATGAACCAAAGCATTTAGTATTTTCTTCTTTCTTAAATTCGGCAAAGCGAGAAAAAGATAAGAGAAACAGGGGGATTATGATTAAAAGACTTGATTGCATTTAGAGAAGAGAGGAGTCCATCGATGGAAGAGTACTTCTCAGATTCTGACTATGGATATATGGATATATGGACGAAAGCTCGAAGTTTTTTCTGAAAGTATATGTATACTTACTTCTGCTCGCCACCAGATTGCTTCTCGATTTCGGTACTGGGGGGAGAGGGGAGGTTAGCTTGAGCGGATTGAGTATGGGGACAGAGAGGGAGTAGAGGGTGGTATGATGTCAGAAAGGCATTCTTACATGTGGTCCTCAAGTTTCTTCAAGTGATCACGTTGTTCGGAAATTTTCTTTCTCAACTCCAAGAGTTTCTCATTCTCGCGCTGGCGGATGGTGAAATCCTCATTGGCCTTTTCGCGTTTGGTAAAGGCATCTCTGGGGAAAAGGTTGTTAGTTCTGTAGCTGCAGATGCGAATGGGAGCTTACCCTTTCCTTTGCGGACTCAATATCGCGAGGATAGTCAAGTAGTAGCATTGGAAGGGATGGAAAACTTACTGTTGGCCGCCAAATCTGGCAGCGCCGGTGTCTCCCTCGCCCATGGTGCGTGCTGATACAGTGAATGCTCTAGCAGCTGGGATGGATGTGCGGACTGCTGGTCGCATGGCAGAGTTGATTGCAAGACGATACATGATGGTGATTATGTTTGAGTTTTTTTTTTCTCGTGGTGGTATTTCGAAGGTAGAAGGATGACGGATGTATTTGAGGGGTTGTTCAATTGATGGTATGATTGTTTATGAAATGATTTGCTGGATAATACCGAAGTAGCTTGCGGGCTGGAAGCTTGGATAGAAACTCTTGGATGTGAAAGACGTAATTGTGCCTTGAAATCGAGGTTGTGAGGGGAAAGATCATGTCATCGTCATGATCAGCTGTTTTGAATGGGGAATCATGGCTGCTTTAAAGACATGTGGGGACGAATGTGCGCAGAACGAGTGTTCAATCACTCAAAAATAAACAGAGCATGACTAAAGTGGCATGAACATGTCTGCTCGTTGCTAGGTAATCAAAACTCTCCAGCTATTTCGTATATCAATTTCATATGACGGACTACCTACTCTTGTTAGAGACGACAAAGTTTAAACTTGAAGGACTCGGATACTGCCTCGACTGCCTCGACTGCTTTGCTCGATTGTTGAATCACTGCTGTGATATTACCTACCCATCTAACTACAGTGGACTTGTGTTATGAACCACTCCGTACTCTATAAATAATACTACTCTGCCCCACTGCCTTCCCAGGTCGCATTCCTAGAAATTCATAACTCTCATACTTCGTACCTATCTGGAAGTAGGATTTAGGTAGCTGTATCTGACTCTGACAGAAATCAACCGGGTTGTGGGTATCGATTGAAGAAGAACATACTCGGTGTCGAAGACAACATCTACTCAAGCCTCCTTGACTATGTAGTACTCCATTGATGATGTACCGATATTGAAACAGCTATAAGGTTGTGCTCTTGTGCTTGTGCCTGTGCTTGTGAACGGTCTACGGAGTAACACCAAACACAACGCAGCGGTAATACTAATAATAAATGCCATTCCAGATTCCAGAAACCAAGGCAGAACAGAACGTCTATGCTTTTAGACCTCATTTATTAGCACTGCCACAATCACAGAAAGTCAGTTCACATGGATTACTTGGAAAGGAAGGAAAGGAAGGAAAGGAAAAGGAAATGGAAAGGGTCAAGGGATGGAAACAGAGACAGAAACAGAAACGCCCAACACCTCAAGAAAATGACCAAAAAGCCTTCCATCTTCGGACAAATTTAAAATTCGTGACAATGCAAATCTGGGTCAAGGTCAAATCATGTTACATTCATGCGACGGATAACCACTTTTAACGACCTGAATTTACCATTAACCAAGATTGGTCCAATCGAGCCACATGAACCAGGCATTTACAGAGCATTCATCAGCCCTGTTGAACTGCATGGAAATCATCTCGAGCCGAATCTCTCTGACTCTTATATATACTTGGGCTGGGTTGGGTTGCCTCGTTGGCTAACTAACAGTGGAGATGTGAAAGTGTATACATACATGTCAAGACTTCTCATACATATGGTAGGTAGTATTGGCACTCGTGTCTCATGTCTCTCTCTCCCTCTCTGCCTCTTATTAGATCTTGCTTTTAGAAGACGATTATAGGGACAATAAAAAGGGGGATCTCGAGATGTACTATGTATGAAGATTGTTCAACGCTCAGTCTTCTTATATTGGAAAAAGAGTTGTCTAATTCAATTCAACTCAAGTGTCTAGATACCCCGAAACCCACATAATATAACGCATGAACAACAGTCAAAAGAAAAGACTCTCAACCATTTTGCCCATACACACAACACACAACACAGTAGATGAGATGAATTCACTTGAGAAGGTGATTTCTGATATAATTCGTTCCAATTAACTCCTCCCCCTCTCTCCCCCTCCAAAAGGAATTCATAAATTGAATTTATATCATTTAAGCCATTTTACAGAATAATACATAAAACGCTGAGCCCCTTTTACGATCTCGAGGTTATCCGTTCCCATTCATTCATTCATTCCCTTTACCTCGCAGATCGCTTCCCATCTTCTAAAAGTGGCACTAGTGCGTCCTTCCAGCAACTTCCTCACGGCCTACGGTACCTACCTACCACTTTCTCCAATCGAGAAAACCATCCCAAGAATCAAAACCAACACACAAACACATTTCCCACGTCGCATAACATCCTACGCTTTTCTTCCTATTTCAGTTTGTGAGATCTCTTTCCTAAAGACTTAAAATAATATCATAAAAAGATACTCAGGTAAGATCTTCATTTCCCCTCAAAGCCTTTGGATCCCGTCGTCTGTTTTCTCCCTCCGCCCTGCCCAATATCTCCATCGTCCAACGCCATCAACAAACAATCACTATGTGCTACATCATATTGTCCTTGTTTACTCGAATCGAGGGATCGACTTTTCCATTCATTTGCAAACACCAATCATTCAACGACTCTTCGCCCTTCACCATTGCCCCTCCGGAAGACTGAGGGGTACTTGTTGTTTTTGCCTTCAGCAAATCAACTCCTGAGTTTATCATACGTAGTAAAACTGCATCGATTGGCGTGTTCTCCCTCGCAGATGGAGATTTGGCGCATGCAGAAGTGGTCGGGCCAAATATCGGTGACAGCCCAGTCACGTCAAACACTAGCACAGTCGCAATTGTCTATTGAATTTCGGCCATTTAAACAACAAGAAACACGATCTTTAGTTTTGAGCAAACGATCACTAACAAATCTATTACAACAGATCTACAAATCGCAGTCATGGGTTACGAAGATTCCGTCTATCTCGCCAAGCTCGCCGAGCAGGCTGAGCGATATGAAGGTATGCAGATTTACAGTCTTTGATCGAAGCGTATGAATACTAACAGTGGGAACAGAGATGGTCGAGAACATGAAGTCCGTCGCCTCTGAAGACCAAGAACTCTCCGTCGAGGAGCGTAATCTTTTGTCTGTTGCATACAAAAATGTCATTGGTGCTCGTCGTGCATCATGGAGAATCGTCACTTCCATTGAGCAAAAGGAGGAATCAAAAGGCAACTCATCCCAGGTTACTCTCATCAAGGAGTACCGTCAAAAGATTGAAGCAGAACTTGCCAAGATCTGCGAAGATATCCTCGAGGTTTTGGACAAACACTTGATTCCTTCTGCCAAGAGCGGTGAATCCAAGGTCTTCTACCACAAGATGTATGTAATTTGTCTTTTGTGCAATAAATCCCATCCAAAATCTCTTACTAATGATGTTACAGGAAGGGTGATTACCACCGTTATCTCGCTGAGTTCGCCATTGGCGACAAGCGAAAGGAGTCTGCCGACAAGTCTCTTGAGGCTTACAAGAATGCAACCGAAGTTGCTCAAACTGACCTTGCACCAACTCACCCAATCCGTCTTGGTCTTGCCCTTAACTTCTCCGTTTTCTACTACGAGATCTTGAACTCCCCAGATCAAGCTTGCCATCTTGCCAAGCAAGCCTTCGATGATGCCATTGCTGGTAAGTCTCATTGGATCAACAACACGAACAAGTAATCTAACTGTGATTTAGAACTCGATACCCTTAGCGAGGAGAGCTACAAGGACTCCACATTGATCATGCAACTTTTGAGAGATAACTTGGTACGTAAAAATATTCTCACGGCGCATCTTGGCCTCAAGTTCTATTACTAACAAAATAAACCTATTTAGACCCTCTGGACTTCATCAGAGGCCGAGCCAGCTCAAGAGTCCGCTGCCGCACCTGCTGAGGCCAAGGAAGCCGAGGCCGCTGCACCAGCTGAGGAGAAGCCAGCTGCTGAATAGAGAATCATCGGATATGGCGTTGATGTTTGGTCGAATGGGCGTACGAGCGATGGAGGTAACGACTGGGTTTTGCATGTTTCGGCAGACGAGATGAGCAGAGGGCGAGCTTCATAAAGAGCTTTTGGGGGGTCTCTCTCGCAACTTGCTTGCCTTTAGACTCTTTAATGCATCAAACCATACTGTACTTTCCCTTCCACACATCCTTTCGCTACTTTGCGAATGTCTCTCGATCGCCCAGCATCTCTTTTCCTTTTTCATTTTTTTATTGAAGACCACTTCCACATGTCATTTCCCGGTTGTTGATAGGTTACGGCCTGGCACTTTTTTATCAAATCGATTAGACTAAAAAAAAGTAGCAAATCCATAAAACCAGTACAAAAAGTCGATGATTTGATAAAGCAATGTGAGACAAATTGCATGTGAGTTCGCATGCATGCCAAACTGAATTTCAAAAAAAAAATCCACCGTTGATGGTGATTTGGTGGCCATGTCTGGAAATTCTCGTTTACTAGTGATAGGGCTGGAGATTTATACATGGCTTGAAAGTCAGTATGCGGTTCGCATGTATTTCGGGCGGCGAGTGATATTTTTTGAGCTTGCTTGACTGATGGGCTGGTGACGTGTAATAGTAAAATGATGTTGAGGTTGGAGTTGCGGTCGGAATCGGAATTGAATGGAAGAGTGTGTTCTGCGGAGTGTAGATGGCTGTGTACATTGATGGGCAGTGCGTGGGATTTGGGAAAGGGAAAGATACGTTTGCTATTTTTTGACTTGGTAGTGTGTTCTGATGGCGGAATGTATAGTGATTTTTCTGGGAGGGGGAGGGGAGAGGAGGGGAGGGGAATACTTGGGTTATGGTTATGGTTATGGTTGTGGTTATGGTTATGGTTGTGGGGGTAAGGGGGTGGAAGGGGGATGATTTGGGAAGATGGGGAGATGGAAGGGGGAGATGGAAGGGGAAGATGGAAGGGGAAGATGGAAGGGGAAGATGGAAGGGGAAGATGGAAGGGGAGGATGGAAGGGGAAGATGGAAGGGGAAGATGGGAAGAGGGAGGTTTGGTGGATATTGTGGAAGCTTGAGCGGGAGGTTGAGTGCTGCTTACTGGGTACTTGGGAGTTGGTGGTATAGTGGGAGCATGGGAAGATAGGATGAGGGGTGGACGGGTCTGTAATACTTGGAATGGGAGGATGGTGGGTGGTTTGAACTTTCAAGGTGAAATGGGGAGGAGGGGGAGATAAGATTTCTGGGTAGGGTGGAGAGGAAATGTCGCTGAGGGAAGCTGAAGAGAAAGGGTGTAGGTGGGTAAATGGAGGATGGCCTGCTGGTGAAATTCGAGGGTTAGGAGGGAAATGGCTGGACATTGTGGGATGTAGCTTCATCCGCTGTTGAGCTCTAGAATAAATATGGATGCGATGTGAATGTGGATGTATATGACGAGATGAAAGCATACGAAGAGTGGTCTGAGAGAAAGTAAGATATTGAGTCTGAGATGATGTTCTATCTAACGCCAGGTGTCGATGGCCATTATGGAAGATTTACATGTCCTTAGAGGTTTCTATTGGGTGGTATCGTGAGATCAGGGTAGAGCTGATATTGATCATGGGAGCTTCGATTTCATGGACATAGAATGCGTTGAAGGGCGTCTGGTTGGCCAAATGAACGATGTCCTAAGTTGTAGTCGAGAATCTTGCACTCGGATCAGGAATTCAATAGGCACCCTAGATGTGTTTCCTCGTAGCCGAAATAAAACAAACAGACATTTGCCGGATGAATATAATACTTGATGTCTCGTTGGCTGCTTGTAACCATCTCTAAGAAGTTTATTCGACCATCCTGCCCTGTACAGCCAATCCGACTCTTTAGCCCTTTTCAAGACCCTGAAGCACGCGCGGAATCTTACTTGCATGCATCAATACCTTGGATGTCCGTGGTGCAGAGAATCTCTTCCGGTTGGCTTGGGGCATGGATCCTGTACGAAATTTCTTGGGGAGTGTGGGATGACGAGAGTCAGTGGAGTGGGAAGGAGGGTATATGATGGCGTAGTAATACTTCGAGGAGAGTCTGATGATTGGAGGTGGATCATGGTTCACTGCATTGGGGGGCTCGCTTAAAGGATTGAAATGCATAGATTTATTAGATTCATAACCATTTGTCTCTTGGTGAAGCGGACTTGAAGATCGAAAGAGCTTTCTAGATGCTGGCGATTGTTTAAATTCTCTCTAAACATGCTTTATGGATTGGTGGAGGGTTGGGGGAGGATTGATGGGGTTGATTGATTGGTTGGTTACTTGTATCTACGCAGACTTCTTGGCCATGTATGGTCTTGAATAGTACAGAGTCTTCACAGCCAAGAAGAAACGAGCCATCCGAGGTTACACTTCACATGGCATAATGATATAGTTATACGTTCCTGTTGTGATTGCAACACAGTATCTAACTGTCAATCTAGAAGAATAGAGAATTGTTGACGGAAATATTTACTTCGTGTCGAGATCCAAGGGAAATCCCTCTTCTAGACTTTTCACAAGCAAGCATAAACGTGGAGCGTGGGGGGTAGGATTGAGAGGGTCACACACACACACACACAACGCTATTATTCTATATTCATAGTCACCTTGTCTCAAGAGGAAAGTGAGATGTGAATGGTCCAGCTGATGTTGAGTGTAGTGTTAGCCGATGATTGCTTTCCGCGCTTGCCTCAAAATGCAATACTCGTGGTGTTGAAGACGATAATCTATGGAGAGAGTTATTTTGTGACATTCTTCCACAGTCTCCTCCTTCAAGTCAAGCAAAAGCTTCTTTAGGAAGATCAATGTTCATGTCTACGTAACAGATTTTATATGATATTGCGAGCACGAATCGGTAATATCCCACCTCCACCATTCTAGTGGTTGGTTTTGCAGTAGCCGTAGTATCGCCTACAACATTCGAGAAATCCAAAACGACTACGACCTGCCCTGCTTGCCCATCATTAAGTTTGAAAAAAAGTAGAAATAACTTTTTGATATTTTAATATTAATATTTGTTTTTTCTACATCTAGAGCATCCGTTTACTTAACCACCTGCCCAATGGAAGACAGTTCGCACGGTCTTATTACATAAATAACAAAGTCACTCCCTGTGCTCTCCCAAGTATTGGTGCGATAAGAAGTGGGTGTGCTAGTTGAACTTCCAAAAAAAACGAGAAGAGCCCCCCCAAGTGGGAAGAAACGATCCATCTTAATTAGTACGGGGTTTCAACGACGACCGAATGAACTTGCCCGTACATTCTACGAGGTCGAGGTCGAGATCGATATTCTTTTGGCCAACACAGAATTGTTAGACAACATACACATTGTTGGTTGTCGTCTGCATTTCTTTGATTACTCGAGAGAAATTTTACATTGAAAAGCGATTGCGCCTAGAAAGCCATTAGCCGTCAACCAATTCCCCGTTCCCCAACTTGCTCACTGTCGAAACGGAAGCTCAAGTCCTGCTTGTGAACTTTCCGACCTTTGATTTCTACGACACATTTCGCCAAATGGAGTGATATAGGTGATCAACACAACTCGCACTCTCATCTGATCAGATTCCAATAGTCCGCGCACGGCGCATATACCATCCTCACCAGGACCCCTCAGTTTGCGACCATTTATTGTACAACCACAACGCATTCGTGCACAAAATTGGCGGAATTTATTGATTGATCATAATCGCAATCATGGACACTTCTGGGGTTTGGGATGCTCAGGATCCTACTTTATCTGTTCCTTCGCAAGATGACTTTCAACAATTTCTTGACCTGAACATGCACAACATGGCCGATACCCTCCAGTTCGACTTCAATTTCAACCAGCAACAATCGCAAAGTCAACAGATGTTACATCAAGATGGGATGAATTCAATGAACACGGGGATGAGTGGCAATCATCAGATGGGGCATGATGGAACGATGCAAGAGCATATGCCTTCGATGACTACGGCTTCTGCCCATCCGGCCATACTCGGAACTCCAATCGTACAACCACATACTTCTACAGAGAGTTTGACAGACTTGGACGCGCAAATCCAATACCTACAACAGCAGAAGCGTGAGCATCAGCTACGGCAATCACAGGAACAACAGCGGAACTTTTATGCCCAAAGTAGGATTATTCCACCCACACCCAATAGTATAGAAATGCATGGTGTCAATCAACATTTCTATACTCCAGCAGAGCATCCGCCATCTGTATATGAGCCCTATCGTCTGAGGGAGCAAGAGGTTAGTCAGATTGATTATACTTTCGCGTCCTTATTTAATGGTTTCACAATTCAATAAGTATAAGAATGAAGTGCTAATAAAACTGATCAGATGGCATTTACTCCGCTCGTGTCACCAGCTGTTACTCCTCTAGAAACTCAATTTAATATCCCTGATTACACTGTCCCCGGAGCTTATTTTAGTCCCTTGAGCTCCCCAGCTTTACACGCCCAAAATGACCACCAAGTTATGTTCGACCATCGTCATTCGGGGTCAAATGATTCCCCAATTGACATGAATGGTGATTCACATTCTGCGCCAGTGAGCTCTATAATTCCGGCTCGGAAGCCTACCCGAAAGTCTGTTGCACCAAAGCCTCGGGTGAACACTCGTGTAGTTCGGCAATCGCCAATTGTCAAGCCAAGTCGGGGTAGGAAAAGCTTAAGTTTGAGTGCTCAGGCGCTAGGAGAAATTATTGAGCCATTGAGTTCGCAAATGTCTCATTCTAAAGGAACTGGATCAACGAACTCAGCAGCAAGCACCGACCATTCTGAAAATGGCTCTATATCTCCTGAGCACCTATCGGATATGGCGCCTCCACCGTTACCGAGCTCGGCTGGAAGATCACCCTATGTCGTAGCACAAAAGGACAATGCCAAGAATAAGTGGATTCCCCTTGGATCACCAGCTACGCCAGCTTCGCTGATGAGAATCACAAAATCTCCTACTGCTATTGAGTCGGGACTGGGCCAGGAAATGGAACTTGATGATCCTGTT